TGGGCGCCAAGAATCAAAGCTATTCGGGGGGCTGAGGCAGGAATATCGCTTGAACCCAGGAGAAGGAGTTTGCAGTGAGTGGAGATCAGGACACTGTACTCCAGCCTGGGCAACAGAGTGAGACTCTATTTCAAAAAAAAAAAAAAAAGATGGGTCTGCTGCTTAGCATTACTGGGCTATAAAGATCAGAGAATGCAGGAGGCCTCATGAGGTAAAGAGCACAAGCATACACGCAACACAGGGAGCAGTGGCAGGGTCTAGAGCTCTTTCCTCTAAAAAGAAATTGTGTACAGAACCTTATCTCCTGATGACATGTGAGTGCTATACAGCAGTGTATGTCTAAGTCCAAGAAAACATGAGTGTACACAACAGGGGGAGGTCATGGATGGCTTAACAATAAGCATATGCTTTCTTTTTTTTTTTTTTTTTTTTTTTTTTTTTGAGGCAGAGTCTCGCTCTGTCTCCAGGCACCAGGCTAGAGTGCAGTGGCACGATCTCGGCTCACTGCAACCTCTGCTTCCAGGTTTCAAGCAATTCTCCTGCCCCAGACTCCCAAGTAGCTGGGAATACAGGTGCGCACCACCATGCCCAGCTAATTTTTGTATTTTTTAGTAGAGACAGGGTTTCACTATGTTGGCCAGAATGGTCTCAATCTCTAGACCTCGTGATCGGCCTGCCTCAGCCTCTGAAATTGCTGGGATTACAGGTGTGAGCCACCACACCCGACTCTTATTTCATTGTTTTCAAATTTCTTAATGAAATAAGAAATAGATAAAATTCATTTTAAAAAACAAACCTGGCCAGGCACACTGGCTCGTGCCTGTAATCCCAGCACTTTGGGAGGCCGAGGTGAGTCTATCACCTGATGTCGGTTGCAGTGAGCCGTGATCGTGCACTGCACTCCAGTCTGGTGACAGATCGAGACGACTCTGTCTCCAAATAAAAAACCTGTACATTGACCTATCATGTGACTCAGGCACTGCACACCACCATGTTAACACAGTGAAACATACCTATATGAACAACCACATTCAAATGTAGTTTTATTTACAACAGACAAAAACAAGAAGCAACTGAGATACACTGCAACAGATAAATGATACACAGGTAAGTTTTCATAGCATGTTATTCTTTTTTCTTTTTTGTAGAGAAGAGGTCTGGCTATGTTGCCCAGGCTAGTCTCTAACTCCTGGCCTTGAGTAATCCACCTTGTCCTTCCAAAGCATCAGAATTACAAGCAAGAGCCGCCATGTCTGGTTGAGCATGTCATATTCTAAGCAATACAAGAAAAATTAAGGCTGGGTGCAGAGGATCATGCCCATAATCTCAGCACTTTGGCAGGCCAAGGCAGGTGGATCACTAGAGGTCAGGAGTTAGAGATCAGCCTGGCCAACATGGTAAAACGCCATCTCCACTAAAAATATAAAAATTAGCCAGACATGGTGGTATGTACCTGTAATCCCAGCTACTCAGAAGGCTGGTGCAGGAAAATCGCTTGAACCCAGGGGGCAGAGGTTGCAATGAGCCAAGATCACACCACTGCATTCTAGCCTTGGTGACAGAGCAAGACTGACTCAACGTGAAGTCTCTTAAGACCATGGAGAGCTGACATTCTGATGTTTTCCACATTGACAGTACTCTTAAGCCCTTTGTCCAGTATGAACTCTCCTGTGTTTAATGAGACCGGAGGTTTCAGCAAAGGATTTCCCACATTTACTCACTCATAAGGCGTTTTTCCTGTGTGAACTCTCTGATGTTGAAGAAGGGCAGAGCTTCGATGAAATGTCTTTCCACATTTGGTGCATTCATAAGGCCTTTCTCCAGTGTGAACTCTCCTGTGTTTAGTGAGACTGGAACATTCAGTAAAGGATTTTCCACATTCACTGCACTTATAAGGCTTTTCTCCAGTGTGAACTCTTTTATGAACATGAAGTGCAGAGCTGTAAGGAAATGACTTCCCACATTCACTGCATTCATATGGCCTTTCTCCAGTGTGAACTCTCCGATGTATAGTCATGCAGCTCTTATTGCCAAATAATTTCCCACATATGTCACACTCAAATGGCCTTTCTCCTGTGTGAACTCTCTCGTGAACAACAAGATGACACTTCCTGTTAAATAATTTCCCACATTCCCTGCAACTGTAAGGTCTTTCCCCAGTGTGAAGTCTCTGGTGTTCAGTGAGGTGGGATCTGTACCTAAATGATTTCCCACATTCCCTGCACTCATAAGGCCTTTCTCCTGTGTGACCTCGCTGATGTTGAATGAGGTTGCCCTTTTGACCAAAAGATTTTCCACATTCTTCACACTCATAAGGCCTTTTACCAGCATGAACACGCTGATGTAGACTAAGGTTGCGCTTCCAACTAAAAGATTTCCCACACTCCTCACAGTGATAAGTTGTGTCTCCAGTGTGAAATCGCTGATGTTGAGTGAGGTGGCGCTTTTGACTAAAAGATTTCCCACATTCTCCACACTCATAGGGTCCTTTTCCTGTGTGAACTTGCTGATGCTTACTGAAGCTGTCATATTTGCTAAAGGATTTCCCACAATTACTGCACATATAACATCCACCTCTAGTGAAAAGTTTCTGGTGTGGAATAAATGAGTGTTTGGTGCTGGAGACTTTTGTGTGTTCTCCACACCTGTAGTTAGTTTTTCCCTCCTGAAAGGGTGAGCCATGCTTAGTTTCACTGTTTGTCTTTTTTACAGGGTAAGTGGCTTCTTCCTGGCATGATCCTGAACTGTGCAGAACGTCCTTCCCAAAGTCACAGAATTCAAATGACTCCTGTGACACCATGAATTTAGATTTCTTTACAAACGATGCTTCTCTGACACTCCTCCTGTAGAATTTCTCTCCAATATGCTGCTTCTGCTGCTGCTGAAGGTTTGCAGTGTCATCCAAGTTTTTTCCACATGCCCTACTCCTGTTCAGTTTCTGCTTGCGATGAGTTTCCTGGTGGTCAGCACAGTGAAAAACGTCCCCCACGATGAGGCCACCCATGTGACAGGAGTGAGCCTTCTTAGGAGAAACAGCCCTAGGAGTCCTGTCCTGAGACTCTGTTTGTACGGTAATGCTCTGCTTAGACAGTGCTGCCTCATCTTTTAATCCACACCAACAACCTGAAAGCAAGGAAATGCTGGTCAAGTTTAAAGTACCTCTGATGGGAAGGCACTGCCCACCCACAAATATATATCACAAATTGAGGAATTACTCTATAGAAATATTTGCAAAAATAGAACATTGGCTTCAGGTTAACGATTAGGCTGCTGGCTGGGCACAGTGGCTCATGCCTGTAATTCCAGCACTTTGGGAGACTGAGGCAGGTGGATCACCTGAGGTCAGAAGTTTGAGACCAGCCTGACCAACAACATGGTGAATTCCTGTCTTTACTAAAAATACAAAAATTAGCAGGGCATGGTGGCGGGAACTTGTAATCCCAGCTACTTGGAAGGCTGAGGCAGGAGAATCACTTGAACCCAGGAAGCGGAGGTTGCAGTGAGCCAAGAACACACCATTGCACTCCAGCCTGGGCACAAGAGTGAAAATCTGTCTCAAAAAGAAAAAAAAAAAAAAAAGGCCGGACATGGTGGCTCACGCCTGTAATCCTAGCACTTTGGGAGGCGTAGGTGGGTGGATCACGAGTTCAAAACCAGCCTGGCCAACATGGCGAAACCCCATCTCTACTAAAAATACAAAAATTAGCTGGGCGTGGTGCTGGGCGCCAAGAATCAAAGCTATTCGGGGGGCTGAGGCAGGAATATCGCTTGAACCCAGGAGAAGGAGTTTGCAGTGAGTGGAGATCAGGACACTGTACTCCAGCCTGGGCAACAGAGTGAGACTCTATTTCAAAAAAAAAAAAAAAAGATGGGTCTGCTGCTTAGCATTACTGGGCTATAAAGATCAGAGAATGCAGGAGGCCTCATGAGGTAAAGAGCACAAGCATACACGCAACACAGGGAGCAGTGGCAGGGTCTAGAGCTCTTTCCTCTAAAAAGAAATTGTGTACAGAACCTTATCTCCTGATGACATGTGAGTGCTATACAGCAGTGTATGTCTAAGTCCAAGAAAACATGAGTGTACACAACAGGGGGAGGTCATGGATGGCTTAACAATAAGCATATGCTTTCTTTTTTTTTTTTTTTTTTTTTTTTTTTTTGAGACAGAGTTTTGCTCTTGTTACCCAGGCTGGAGTGCAATGGCACGATCTCGGCTCACCGCAACCTCCGCCTCCCGGGTTCAGGCAATTCTCCTGCCTCAGCCTCCTGAGTAGCTGGGATTACAGGCACGTGCCACCATGCCCAGCTAATTTTTTGTAGTTTTAGTAGAGGCGGGGTTTCACCATGTTGACCAGGATGGTCTCGACCTCTCGACCTCGTGATCCACCCGCCTCGGCCTCCCACAGTGCTGGGATTACAGGCTTGAGCCACCGCGCCCGGCCAGCATATGCTTTCTAATAATAATCAAGACACCAGGCCGGGCACGGTGGCTCATGCCTGTAATCCCAGCACTTTGGGAGGCCGAGGGAGGCAGATCACAAGGTCAGGAGTTCAAGATCAGACTGGCCAACATGTGGAAACCCCATCCCTACTAAAAAAAAATACAAAAATTAGCTGGGGATGGTGGCTCGTGCCTGTAATCCCAGCTACTTGGGAGGCTGGTAGGAGAATTGCTTGAACCAAGACCGAGGAGGTGGAGGTTGTAGTAAAGCCAAGATTGCGCCACTGCACTCCAGCCTGGGCTACAGAGTGAGACCCCATTTCAAAAATAATAATAATAATAATAATAATAATTGATACGCCAGTATCAGAGACAACTGCAGATAAAAGCACAAGAATAATGGGTGCGAGGTGGGGTCCAGAGATGTATTATTCCTGGGGTGATTATCACAGTAGAAGTAAAAAGGTACAGAACTAACAAGGGTGAAACTCTCAACAATGGGGACGAAAAGATAGCGTGTGCCTACTCATATTGCCACGAAAATACTCGGCAAATATAAATGGTTTCTGGTATGATTTCAGTAGACCTCCAAAGTCATGCCCTCCCCCGGCACGGCACTTTTGAGGGACAGGCTCCCTTTGAGCCTATCGTGATGAACCTGAATTGAAACACATCTTGTGAAACACCGACGACTCTCCATCCCACCCGCAAGATGACCAAATACATGGGACTGATGATGTAAGTACAAAGGGAAGGGCAGCAGAGATGAACAGGAAACACCAGCTCAGGACAACTAAGCACCTGACAGCCAACAGGACAGTAAAACTAAGTATTACAAGAGAATTCCTAGGCAGATCTATGGTCTATGTAGGTAATGACAGGGAGGTATGAAGAATTATCACCCACAGGAAGGAAGTATTAATAGAACCTAGGAACACAGGAGCCATAGATTTGGACAGTCACCTAAAAGCCAGAGAGCAAGCAAAGTGGATACATTAAGGTGCCTATAAGACTCCGGACTCTGACTCTTTCTCTGGGAGCCTACAGCAAAGCATGTGTTGGAGCTGCTTAAGGAAAGGAAAAGGCAATACACACACCTGAGTCCTACCAGCCACATAACTGACACAGAGAAGTGTAGAAGGAACCTGGGCCCAGGCCCCTTAAATGAGAAAGACAGTCTTGTCAATGAAAACCAGCGAATGGAAACACTAGCTCAGGTCACAAAGGTGAGTGTGAGCAACTTACCCAGGGAGGATATAAGTGCCAGGTTCTCTAGCATCACATCACGGTACAAGCATCTCTGAGCCTCACTAAGGAGACACCATTCCTCCTTGGAAAAGTTCACAGCCACATCTTCAAAGGTCACAGTGCCCTGCTATGATAGTGACAAATGAAACAACAAACAGCCCCTATACTGAGGTGCCACAATCCACCTCTCCCACACACCCACCCTTGCCCATCTTCCTCCCAGGGTCCACAACACAATGTTGAAACCATGTCTACTGGTGCCTTTTTCTCTTCATGTGTGCAATGGTCAACTGGTATAGCCACCAGCAATATGAAGTAGGTAGACAAGGCTGGGGTCAGTGGCTCACGCCTGTTATCCAGCACTTCAGGAGGCCGGGGTGGGCTGATCACAAGGTC